TGTGAATATTTTTATTGTGTCCACCTCCCAGTGGCCTCCCTTATACCCTCTTCTCCTCCCACTTATTTCTTTCCTCTTGTCTAATAATAGTCTCCCTTCTACTTTCATGTCATCTTTTTAAGATTTCACACACAGTATTAGGGAAAACATGATAACTGTCTTTCTGAGTCTTCAGCATTTTACTTAACATGGTAATTTCCAGTTCTATCCATTTTTCTGAAATGGCAAATCATAATTTTGATAGCAAAATCATGTCTGTATACCACATTTTCTTTATTCATTCATCTGTTAATGGGCACCTAGGCTTAGCTATTATGAACATGGGTGTGCAGGTATCTCTATAGTATGCTCAGTTTAATTCTTTTACCAAGGAGTGGTATAGCTGGGTCATATGGTAGTTCTAGTTATAGTTTTTTGAGAAGTATCCATATTGATTTTCATAGTGGCTTTACTAATTAACATTCTCCCCAACAATATAGAAGCATCCTCACGAGCATTTATTGTTTTGTTTTATTCTGGTGGTTTTTGTTTTGGTTTTTGTTGTTGTTGTTGTTTGTATTCTTGATGATAGCCGTTCTGACTGGCATGAGGTAGAATCTCAATGTTGTTTGATTTACATTTCCCTAGTGGCTAATGATGATGCACTTTTAAAATCTGTTTATTGGCCATTTGCCCTTCTTTTGAGATGTGTTTGTTCAATACATTTGCCCATTCATTGATGGGGGTATGGGGGGGGGTTGCTGTTGTTTTTTGAGTTCTTTATATATTCTAGATGTAATCCCCTGCCAGAAGAGAAGCTGGCAAAGATTTTCTGCCATTCTGTAGGCTATTTAGTTATTGTCTCACTTGCAGTGCAGAAACTTTTCAATTTGATATAGTCCAATTTGTTGATTCTTGCTGTCATTTCCTGTGCTGTTGGGGATCCTATTTTTGAAGTCTTTCCCTATGCCTACAGCTTCAGCTGTTTCCCCTATGTTTTCCTTTAGCAGTTTCAAAGTTTCAGGTCTTATACCTAGGTCTTTGATCCATTTTTAATTGATATTTATAGAGGATGTGAGATAGGGATCTAGTTTCAATCTTCTACATATGGATATCCAGGTTTTCCAATAACATTTGTTAAAGAGGCTATCTTTTCTCCCAGATATGTTTTTGACTCCTTTGTCAGGAATATGGCTGTAGTTTCTGTGTCCTCTATTCCTTGGGTCTATACTTCTATTTTTTATGCCAGTACCATGCTGTGTGTGTGGTGTTTGTTTGTTTGTTTGTTTTGTTCTAGCTTTGTAGAATGATTTGAAATTGGGTATTATATCTCCAGCCTTGCTCTTTTTGCTTAGGATTAATTTACAATTTTATGTCTTTTATATTTCCATATGAATTTTAGGGGATTTTTTTTCTAGTTCTGTGAAGAATATCATTAGCATTTTGAGGAAGTTGCATTGAATCTGGAGATTGTTTTGGTAATACGGCCATTGTAACAGTATTAATTCTGCTAATCCATGAACAAGAAATCATCTCTTGCCAGATAGCTTGCCTTTTCACTCTCTTAGTGATATCTTTTGATTAATTTCTTAATTTTAATGAAATCCTATTTAATAAAAATATCTGAAGTTTAAGCTTAGTGCTTCTTCATGTTATGCTAGAAAAATCTTTTCTGCCTCTAAGGTTATAAGTATATTCACCTATTTTCTTTTTTTTTTCTTTTGGTTCCGGGGATCGAACTCTGGTCCTTGAGCTGTGCTGCGCTTGCGAGGCAGGTGGCGGAACTACTGAGCTAAATCCCTGGCCTATTCACCTATTTTCTTCAAGAGTATTATTATTATTATTATTTTATTTATTTATTTTTTTGGTACTGGGGATCGAACTCAGGTCTTTGCACTTGCAAGGCAGGCGCTGTGCGCTGTACCACTGAGCTAAATCCCTGGCCTAAGAGTATAATTATTTTACCTTTCACATTTTGCTCTGTGTCTACCTGGCACCAATTTTTCTGTATGGGGTGAGTAATTGGTTAAGATCAATTATTTTCCATTTGAATATTCAGTTAACATGTATTGTCATCTCAATTATAAATCAGTAACTTTCATTATAGATCTGTGGTGGGCTCTGTTGTGTTATATTATAACCAAAATTTTTTTTCAAATCAAGCAAAGTAGTACATGTGTTAGAAGTTCTTAAGATGAGGAAATTCTAGAGTTAAGTGGAATTAGTTTACTCAAGGTGACATGGGAAGCAATATTAGAGCATTTGTCCTTAAACTGAAAGGAGTCACATATTATCAGTAATACAGCCAAGCTTTTTTGACAAAACCTCTGACTTTTGAACATACAGATAGTTACCTTCCAACTGAATATATTTTAGACAGTACTAAAAATGAGCACTTCTCTCATGATTGATTTTGAAGAACACAGCCCCGAATTTATATTTGTCTAAGAAAATAAACAACAAAGACAAATCCTTTTAGTTTTTTCTATTATTTTGTGTTGTTTTTTAAAAACCTCTGAATTGAACTGTGAACAATGAGTCTACTACAACTATAGTTGTAACAGAGTGGCCTCTCTACTGAAAGCCATTTAATGACCTTGCTTCACACTATATATAACCCCAATACCTGAATGTTGCCTACAAGCCCTCCCTTTTCGGCCTCATCTCATGCCATTCATACCATACCTCATTCATACCATGGCCTCAGACTGACCTTTCAGTTTCTTGAAAGGAGACATGTGCTCCCTACTTCCATATTGAGTATTTTTCTTCCCCTTCTCCTTGTTTTTGCCTGATTTTTCTCTCACATTTGCCTGATTGCCCTAAATCTTTCCTTAGTAAACCTCCTCTGTCTTCTAGAATAGAGTTCTCTCTGTTCTACTCTCTCATAATACCCACTAATTTGCTTCCAGAAAAGTGTGTTTTTCATTCAGTTCATTTCTCCCATTAGTGTGCACACTCCAAGGAGGCAACCATCAAGCCTTTTGCTTCCCATTGTATGCTATCCCTTGTGTTTATCCAGATCCTGGCATATATTAATAAGAGCACTGTATTGCTTGATTATAGTTTTTATGTCTGTGACATTTATGTAGTCTGTATAGACAATATATTTATATAGTCCATAGCGAACAATTTGGTAATAAGTAAATCACCCAAAACTGCATGTTCACTCTTGCTCCATGCCTCTGTGTCTAGGAGGGTCCCAGTGATTCCAAGGTAAGAATGCTTTTCTGTTCTCTCTAAATTGAAATACACCCTCACCAAGATGTTCCCATCCTTTAAATATTTTCACTGTTCTCACTTATTGAGTGATATTTGTTATGTTTAAGTTGAAAGCCCTGCAGTCAGGGTATGTATAACATTTAACATAAATGGCAGTAAAACTGCCCAAGCAATGAATGTATTATATAGACATAGTAAATAAACAAATAAGCTCTGTGATATTAAAGCCATGTTTTTCTTCTAGCACTTTTGGAAATGGTACTGAATTACCAAAACAGTCTGACTTATTTTTTGTGATATGTTACATCAGTAAAAGGGTATATATTAAATGCTTAGAAAATGCTTTGCTACATATTCATGTCCTTCACTGTTTGTCTTCATTTACATGTGTTGTAGGCAACCTTAGATTTTTTCTGTTACTGTTTTCAAAAGAATAACTAATTTTAACACCTTCTTGTCTGTGTTTTATTATGAACTGTCAGTGCTATTCTTCATTTAAAATGCAAATGTTCCAGTAGTCTACAGTGATCATCTTATGGTGGAGTTGATAGGATGATAGAGGCATTGTTATCGAAACCTCTGATGGTGGTGTTCTGCATTTTTTATTTTAGAAGAGAGTCACTGCTTCTCATCAGTAAGAAAGTCCAATTAAAAGGAACATGAATACAGATTATATTTGCAGAGCCAGTATATTTATTCAATGAGACTACTGACTAATAATGTTAATTAAGGAACTATTTTGGATAGAAGATACAGAAATTTTGTTTTAAGCAAAAACATTCTAATAGGAGCTGAAATTCAGTCATTTGCTAGCACTGTCCATTTCCTCAGCTATAGAATGGGTATGATAAACTACCCATCTACTAAAATTCTTATGAGAAACAAATAAGATAGTACTTTTTTTTTTAATAATATAGTACTTTTAAAGCACTTTATTCTAGTATGTGATATACAATAGGCACTCAGTATATGTTAGCTAGTTTTCGATTTTTATTTTTTGATTAGTAAATTTTGCAGTACATAATGATTGCATTCCTCACAGGGAGTTGCTATAGTACGTAACATATCTTAACTCTTTTTTCAGCCCCTTCCCCACCCCTCCTGCCCTCTTCCCACCATCTCTTGGTCTCCTTCTTTTTGTCAAAAGATCTAACTCCTTATTTTCTGCTATCTCTTTTTTATTTTGCTTTTTATTTAGCCTCGTAGTGACCATGAGGCTTTGTCCATAGTTGACCTCTTAACTATTTTCCTCTCTTTCTGCCCTTTCTCGGTATTACCTTCAGCAAGTTTCTACCACGCACATCTGTGTAGCACTACCTCTTTGATACCTTCTTTTCAGCTTTAAAAACCTTTGTGCTTTCCTGTGTCTGAACAAGAAAATCTCAGATACATGGATAGCACTTAGCACCTTACCATCTGACCCTAACTTTCCTTACCAAACAATCTTTCTGCCTTGACCACCCACAGGGTTGCAGCCCAGATACTTTTGTTTTGCTGCATTGCTTGTGTTCTTCCTTTTGTCTGCATTTTCTGGTGTGGGCCTCACCCCCTTCAAGGACAACTCAAGGTTCCTCTTATTTTTGGTTGCTGTTTACTCATCTCTTTGTAGCATTTATCACTATATTAAAGTTAAGTACCTATGTCTTGATCTCTCACTAACTTGTGAGTTCCTTAAGAACAGAGACCATAACTCATCATTATATCACCATCTACTAGATACACTGTAAAACGTGCTGAAGTGACGTATTGAGACCTGGTGTGATTTTATTTTAATTTCAATATTATTTTTATTATTTTAGGTTCTTGGCCTTATCCAGAATATGAGTGTTTTTCAGTGTCCAAAATGTAAACACAAAACTCATATTTTTGGTGCTGATGGTGCAGAGAGGCTGGCACAGACCCTTGATCTTAATGTTCTGGGTAAGACCGTATGATGTTCTTTTACAGTGGAAGTTGCAGAAGAGAGAGTGGAGATAAGCTTGATGATAAAGAGTATCTCAATTTGTTGCTTTGGGTTTTGTCATGTAAATTATGTTAGTATAGTGCCATTCTATGTGTTTACCTTTCTTTGGCTTTTTAAAATAGGTCTTTCTTGCCAACTATGATAATAATCCCAACTTTAAATAAAAACTGCCTATAAATTAAATTTGAGAAGAGAGTTTTGTGGTCTAAGTATGTTGAACCCACATTTGTGGTCTAAGTTATTTGAAGCCATATTTTAAATGACAGTCATCAATTTGGTTACTAAGTTGGACAAAAATATGTTTGTATAAACAGGTGTAGATGAAATACAGGTTTTTTTTGATGAAATGTGATTTTTCAGAAACCCACAGCAACTTAATGGACTTTTTAGAAAACATGTTTTTTGTGAATGACTTTATGTTCTGGACAAGAGCAGATGGTTAGATGCTGAATAGGAGCCACACAGAGTGAATTATTAGTTTTAAATAATTAAAAAATTAAGATCCCTTGGAGATCAAAGAATTTCAAAACATTATTGTAATTAAATTTCTAAAAGTTAAATGTATTATTGCTATGCATTTGTACTACAGCAGAAATTACAATATCAGGTGAATACTAATGATATATTTTGATACATTGCTATAATTATAGCCACTAATTATATTCTGCAACTGTTTTTCATTTAACTAACCTAGAAAGTTCAATTATCCAAATCTGCATAATAACATAATAGATTGACATTCACTTATATAATAAAGTAAATGGGTAATTATAATGGCATTATTGAATTATGCTTACAGTATTGTAATTTCCTAACTTATAAATGAGTAGTACAATTTTGTAAGTCATTTATTTAGAATTTGAAACATCTTGTAGAGAGGTACTCTCATATTTGGAAGTTATATTTCAACCAATAGTTCACAAATGTACAGTTCCCTGAAAATATATTAGAAACACTAATTACTAATCACAAAAACTGAATAGTACCATAGACTGCTGTGTCAAACAGTGTTATGGGTAAAGTAATTTATATAGTTCCAACTTGGGACTCATCTCCTCCTTTTAATATAATCGCAGTGTCCCAGATGTGTCTCCCATGAACTAGACTAGGGAATCCAATTATGATATGGCTAGAATTGGAAAAGAGAAACTGAAATCAGGGAGAGTTCTCCCAGCTAAGGCCTTTAGCTGTTTAAATCCCCTAAGAACCCTCATTTGTCCTGTACCAACTTCCTGGCAGCCGCTGAATTTATATTTATCCTTTGGGTTGTGTTTTAAATGACTGTTTGGTAAAATGGCTCTTCAGAACCTTGTCCATATTTACCTCCAGGGAGAGTTTATACTCAGTAGTTAAAATCTCGGGCCATCTCTTTCTTTAACCTATTTCGTATCTGAAATGTTTCCTCACCTCTTTCAGAGATGGCTCCTCGGAGACACTTTTCATGCCTGAACTGGTCCTTATCACTCTTTATGCCATTCCTCTTCTCTAGATATGACTCTTGGCCTGTGACCCCTCTTCTGTTTTCTAACAAGTGTTTTTTTCCCCCCTTTCATAGTCTGTTCTTCTGGAAGTCTTTGGAAGGCAGAAACAGTGTTAGTAGGTGGCTATGTAAAGAAGTGTTTACCTGTTTTACTTCCATTTCTGCAGTAGAAAAGATGTCATTCAGGATTCCTTATTGCGATGGCAGTTCATAAACCAAGAGGAAAAACTTGAGCCTAGGAATGTAGCTGAATGCTTGTCTAGCATGTGTGAACCCCTTGATTTCATTCTCAGCACAAAAGAGAAGTGGGGAGGAGAGAGAGGAAGCAAGGAGAGGAAAGAAAGAGATATTTATGGGTTTCTGAGCATTTTCTATCATTTATTATACTATGTCTGTCCCTGTGACAATTTCCTACAGTCTTAAGTTGATCTATAGAATAGACATCAAATTTACTGGAAAGCTAATTTTTAAATGGTTAATGAAATATTCATGTATTTTTTCATTGGCTATTAGACATTAAGGAAAAATGAGTTAAGATGGAAAAATTTGCTGACAACAGGAGCATGAAATATCTGTCCCTCTGACATCTACTTTATAATAAATTGTAATATTTTTGCAGCATATGCTTCTTTTCCATTATTTACATTGCCTGGCAGGGTGCTGAATGACTTATTTATATAAAACCCACACATATTTCAATAACCTTTGCATAGATTTGGAGTGGTTGTGAGAATGCTGAGTACTATGACAAGTACTTAAGGCTCCATTTATTGCATTTTAAATCTCAGTCTTTGAATGACTTCATTTGTGATGGTGGAGTAGAAAGCGGGTGTAGGATGATGGAACCATTTCACTCTTACATTCCATCACCTAATAGAAAGATATCCTTAGGAAAAATGCACAACCTCACCAATGTTAGCCTGTAATATTGGAGGTTCATATTTAAGTACTTCCTGAAAACTTATCAAATGCACAAGTTACATATAAAGTAACATAAATTAGTAAATAGTAAGGGGAAATAATTGCGTTTGTTGAATAGGCAGATAGTTCAGATAACAGGTATGGCCTACTTTTAAACTGTTCTCTTAGCTCACTTATCTGCCAAGATTAAGAAGATGACTTTGTTGTACTTTTTTTGGACTATGCTTCTGCATCCTTTCCTCTTTAGTTTTCTCTTGCTACATGGCACGATATATCTATATCAGATATTATAAGAGAAAATCTCTTACAAATGTCTTCCAAGCCATTCATTGCTGGAAGACCTCCAGTGAAGAATAAATCCAGAAGCCTCATCTCTTATCTGCTAGCTTACATGCATATATATGTAGTCATCCTCAAGTGGAATATTTTGTCCCTTAATTTTCATTTGAAATTCCTTTTCCAGAGATTTAGCAAATTGAGGGTAGTCATAACTCAATTTAATTTGAATGAGTTCAGATTTTATTTCCATTGCTCAAATTTTGAGATGACTCTTCTGGTATTAACTGATATCTCTTGGGCTCTTTTAGGAGACATTCCATTACATCTCAGTATAAGGGAAGCTTCAGATACAGGCCAGCCAGTTGTGTTTTCGCAGCCTGAAAGTGATGAGGTAAGTTACATATTTAAATGTATATTTTTATTTTCTTCTCTTTCTGCATACCTTTTGATACGCAGAAAGTTGGGATGATCAAGCTTATCTGTTTGCAGATACATATATAAATAAGGATTAGGTAACTGACCAAAATATTTTTGATACTGTTTTATATGCCAGGCTGTCAGTATTACCTCTAAACTATCAACTCAGCAAATTCACCTGCAGATAATCATCACCTAACCAGTTTTCTCAGGAAAATCACAAGTAATGGGAGTTTGTAAAATTCTCTTCTTATTGGCTAGCAATATCTAATTGCTTAAGATTATTATATTTCAGTATTACAAGTTCAGTTGATTATTGTGAAAAGGGAACCTAATAGAAGAAAGTATTAAGTTGGATAAAAGGAATCCAGCTATTAGGGATGAGATGTTCATTGCATTAATTTTAGTAATTATGTGGGAGCAAAGATGGAAAGACTGGTAGTGTTTCATTGGCCAGCAACATTGGGGATTGGGTGATAGATTTTCAAAATTGCTCAAACATAAAATCTTTAAGCATAAAATTTTTAATTTCAATCTTTTTTTCAAAATAGAAATAAAATCATATTTCCTAAGTAGTACTTGCTATTTAACTTGGAAACTGAGTTGTCATTTGGTACATCAGTTTTGATGTAGTTTTTGCTCCCCTTTCCTGAATGGTCTCAGTCAGTCTTCTAATAGTTTTCTTTTTTTCTCTTGGTTACAGGGTATAACTTCATAACTTTATCGTACTATGATTTTTTTCCATGTATAGCTCCTACACTTTTTATTCTAGTCTCTTTCCTCTGATCTTCTGTGAACTAGAAAATAAAAGACTCAAGCATAGTTAAATTTATAAATAAAGTTAAGAGTAAGTTAATCCAAGAGTCCTGGATAAGTAAAGTTGATCTATTTTGAGTCATCTCTTTGGGGCCCAGAGGTTCTTTTCTTTCCCCGGAATCAGTAGTTATGGAACAGGTGATCAAGTAACTGGCAATGTGAATAAATACATTGTTATCATTGTTTTTTTCTCTGCCTTTTGCGTATTAAATGTTAATTTCCTTGTAAGTCTTTCTTAGATTTCATATATATAAAAGCTATAATTCTTCATTGCTGTCACAATTAAAGTCTGGCAGCCCCAACTGTCATAGGTATGCTTTATATGTCCAGTATATGAAAAGTATGAAAATTGAAGTTTCTTTAAATTACATACTTTTAAATGCCTCCCAAGAACAAAGTAAAGGCTTCTCATGGTGATTCCTTATGAATAAGAATCATTCCTTACTAGTTTATTTCAGTTAATTTTTTTGTATTTTTTCTCACCTGTTCATTATTGGTTTTTTTCTTTGAAATTCTCCAAAAGCAAGAAACATTTCAATGAAATTAAAGATAAAGACTTTATATATATGTCATATATATTTGTTTCCATTTTTTCTTTTTCTCGTATTTTTTCTTTTCCCTTCTTTCCTTTCCCTTACCCCTCCCACTCCCCCTTCCCCTTTAGACCTTTTCTTCCTATTTTACATTATCAATTATACATTTTGATACTTATTTACACTTTTAGTTTTTCACACCAGAGAAACTATTCAGTATTTACACATGTGTGTCCTATTTATTTCACTTAAGAGTATAGCCTCAATGTGCATCCACTTAGCTATAAATGTCTCTAGTTTCTCATCCTTTATGGCTGAGTAGTACTCCATTTTATTAAAAAAAAAAAACCACATCTTCTTTATCCAAGCTCCAGTTGATGGGCAATTGGGCTGTTTCCAAGTTTTAGCTATTACAAATGAAGTAAATGTTACTTGATGGCATTTAAAATTTAGAATAGCAGAATTTGAATTGTGAAATGAGAGTAGAATTACCAGCTTCAACATTAAAAATGTCAAGAAGCTGTGATTATTCCTGAAATCAGGATCCTTCTAGTTAGTTTTGTGATGGTTTGCTTCCTAAGAGTCCTCTTCCCTGTTCCCTTACAAACTGAAATGGAACTTCGCTCTCAGAAGGCAGTCATACCCCTTTTAACAGATCCCGTAGTATCTGTGGAAGCCGATTGCCCATTCTACCTATATGAAGGCAGCATTAATTTGACAGCATAAATTTTTGCAAAAATAGGATAGAACCTATAAAATTAGGTGTTAATGGTTAGCCTCTTAGCCTGATACTTTTTATTGTTTGCTTTTAGGGACTGAGTCAGAGACAAAATTACTAATCAGAAGAAGATTTATTTTTTGCTGTTTGTCTTCCTTCTTACTCCACATTCTCTTTTGTATGTTCCGTCACTTCCTCCAGTACCAAGTGTCAGAACTCTCTTTTTTGGCCCATAAAATTTAGGCATTAGAGATTTAACTTTCCCAATAAAATTTAACTTTTAGAAAGGCAAACACTAGAAAGGTGGTTAACTTAAAGATATGAATTGTGGTGAATTTTTGAAACATCTGGGAAATGTTGGAAGATCTAGTGGTACCAATTAAATAGCACTAGCAAGTTTATGGTTACCCAGCAAATGTGAAGAAACTTTGCACATTTGCCCTACTTAACAAGCAGGAGAAAGTGAAGCTTCAAATGTGAGCAGTGTAGCAACTGGAGACACAATAGAGGAAGAGTGAAAAAATAGACACCTGAGAACTCTTAAGTTCAGTAGAATTGCTTCATGCAGGCTGGATTGTAATTGTTGATTAGACTAAAACTATTTTTCCCTTTGACTGAGACACAAGTATTGGACTCACGATTGGTAATTTTGTGGTTTGGTCCTTTTTATCAAGTAAAGATATTAGCATACAGAAAGATAGGGTATAAGATAATCCTCAAAAAGACTTTCAGATTTAAGTGGAAATTTTATTTTATAATTTCTAAATTATCACTTCAGAGTTTAAATATGAAATAGCTGTGTATGATAAATTTGAGCTTCAAATGTTTAAAAAAAAAAAGGAAGCTTCCATAAAATTTCTTGCTGGGCCAGCTGTATTATCTGTGCCTCTAAGTGGCCTTAAAAAAAGAATGGAGGGGGGTGTTAGTCTATGTAGAGTTTAACAATATATCTTTTCCTGTATTAAATTCTTAAAAATTTAAATATTCACCATATTTTTCAAACATACCTCATATGTGTCACCTTCTTGATAGATATGGTTTAAACAAAAAGAGTGATTTAATTTAATCATTCCTAAGGTGAGAATAAGGCATAAGAAGTGCTGGTACAAAGGAAGCAGTTTCAAAACTTCTTAAAACCTTAAAACCTTATAACACTGTTATATTAACCATTTTACAGGTGTTGAAACTGAGCCTAAAATGGTTAAATAACTTGTCTGAGGCCCCTGAGCAAACAAGTAATGAGTCCAAGATTCCAAATTTGGCCTGACTTCAAGGCCCCAACTCTTTACCAGTGAGCAGTTCTGCTTCCAGTTTGTATCATTCAATCGCATGGATTTGCCAACACAATGCTTTGCATGCATTAAGAACCAAAATGTATTTGCTGAAATGATACAGCATTGGCTGAAAAAATTAAATCTCAACAGTTTTGTAGAATTAGAAACTGTTTAACGCCTTTCGGTGGTTTCGCAACAAATGACATTCTATTACCTTGAGTGTGACATATTGGAAATATAGTTGAGATATTCCATTGAAAAGCAAAGATTAAATGTGGCAAATTTGATTATTCTGTAATCATTCACAATTTTTTGGTATTCTGATAGGTTTATGTCTCTAATGTGGATAAGTACTAAGAAATTACAGAATGATGTTCTTGTCTCAGCTTGTTTTAGTGAAGTTTTAAATTTTCATCACAAAATATTAGACATAAATACTTAGAAAACTACTATGAGATAAAAGCTGTTTATAAAGATGCTTGGGTAAAAACTAGCACATTAGAATATGAGGGAAATATTTATAAGTATAATCATTTCCATTTTTAGGCAAAAACTATTATTCCTGTCAAATATAACATAGTGAAACCATTCTAGACTGTGCATTATGATTAGAATTTCTTATGAAGTTACTGTTTAATATGTGGTATAGTAGAAAAGCTGGGCTTTAGAATCAGTTGGACCTAGATTTCTTTGACTTCCAGACTGCTGACTTTATGACCTTGAACAAGTAACTTCTGGTTTCTTCATCTGAGTTGGTCTAATGATGCTTGTTTTACATGATTGAAATCACTTTGTGTGAAGTACTTGGTATTGTAGGCATCCATTTAAAAAAATTTAAGGCCTTATTCATGTTTTAAGAGCTTTTAAACGGACTTTTAAAATGAAATTTAACACTTTTCTGATAAAATAAAACATGATTCAGCTGTGAGGGCTTGGAATAGTCTTTAAAAATGAAAATGTGTGTAACACCCTTAAATCACTTCATCAGGTCAGCACAAGGACCTCAGATGTCTCTCTTTATTGTACAGAGAAGTAGTTAGACAGCTTTGGTTCAAAGCCCAGCTCATTACCTACTGGCAGTAATGCTCTGAACAGACTTCACCCTTCTGGGTCTTTTCCTTGTCTATAAGGTGATAATGGCAGAATTTAACCCTATGGGTAACTGCGGGCAAAAGGAAATACTTGATAAATATTAAGTGCTTAGTAAATTTGGACTGTTATCATTAATAATGATAGTATGTACAAAAGTGTATCAATGTAGAAATTAATAATCTTAGAAATTCTTACTATTGTGCTTTATTATTATTTCTTATGAATAAGGTAGAGGAAATAGTATTTGTATTGAAATTACTTAAGAGAATTCTTAAAACGTAAATATCATAATCATTGTTGTAATGTGGACATGTGGGCATTGGGGTAGTTTGTGGTCTGCTCTGTGGCTTGGGAGCTACTCTTAGTAATTCACTGCACTGGAGAGCCCAGAGATCAAGAGTGCAACCACAGAAGCAGAAATTCTTGCCCGATAGCCAGTATTCACCACATGAAAGTTTGTGAGTGCACAGTGCTAGTACTGCAAACTGTTCTCAGGAAAAAAGAAGAAAGTACTTTTTAAAGATAACCCAGTGGGTGGTAATAAATAATCTTCCTCGAAATGACTAATACTTCTTATGCCAAAGAAGTTTTGGCACTAATTCAGTATATCAATTTGTCAGAGGAGGAAGGTATAATTTTTCTGCAAATATACTGGGTTGCTAGTTTGCTAATACACAGACTAAAGTTTGGAAACCAGTATTTTTTGGTACTAAATGTTTTTTCAGAAAGCCTCCTTCCAAATAATTACCCTTCAGATAATCTAAAATCCTTTCTGCCCTGCTCCACCTGCAGTGCACATAGCATCATCTTCTCATGACTGAACTTCCTCATCTCACCTGCTACCAAATACAGCAGGCATCCATGACAAACAGTTCAAGTTACTTGGTGTCTGTGGGGGAGACACATAGAGCAAATGAGTCTTGCCCTTTTCCAGGCCAAAGCTTACCTGAGGATTGCCGTGGAAGTGGTAAGAAGATTGCCACCGCCTCCAGAATGATTCCCAAGCACCCTGAAGATTAACCTGGTACTTGATAATGAGAGGACCTTCAGAAATGAGCAGTGTGATGGAGGAACCTGAAGAAATAATAACAATCATGATTTTTTTCTTTCATCTCTAAGGAAATAATGTCTCATTTTCAGATTTGATATGCTGTGCTGTGACTCATAATTAAAATTTTCATGTATTAATGCTAACTGCTGTATTTAGGAATTTTTTTAAAAGCTGATATGTTAACAACTGCACTTAGTTGTATTTTATTTTATTGAACTTCCTCTTGAGAAATCATGATTTTATAATGTTACTATCCCAGTTTGTAAGACAATTGTACTCTTTGGCAGGACCACAGAGTTAGTCATTTAAAGAATTTACTGACTTTGTGTATGGACATGTATGTGACAACTTCCCACCAGGCAGTTTGTTCTGAGTTTGAGTTCTGTCTCTATTACGCTCCTGGATACATTTTTAATAAAGAACTTCTTCTTCATCTACACCAGATACTACTCAGACTTAGTGAGTCTGAATTTCCAGCGGTGGAGCCTGGAGATGTGTATTTTAACAAGATCATGATGACTTTGATGATGCTTTGGATTATGATGGCAATAATAATAAATAATAGCATTTATCAACTGATTTATATACGTCCTTATAATCTCTGTTCATACAAGTTGGGTACTATTACTGTTTTCATTTTTAAGGTGAGGAAATGGAAGTATAAAGTCTCTTGCATTCCAAGTGAGAAAGCTGGGATGTGAACTTAGGAAGTTAGATACTGGATTCTTCCCTTTATACACTAATTTGCATTTGTTAATTTCAAAAGAGAGATTAAAATTCACTTTAGCCATAAAATCTACGTCATGCCTTAGGAGCATTACATAGAGTTCATATTTTAAAGAATGGACTTTGAAAAATATGTGACTTGTCTCACTGAAACTCAGAGTTAAGGACTTTGCAAGGTCAGGCAGCAGATACTTATAAAGCTGCAAGTACTGATAAGAGTGAGTCATTAGTTAATTGTCAGTTATAAGGAAGTAATCTGTGACCTTTGGCAAGTCTTTGATGTCCTTTGCTCTGTAGTTATCAGCCGGAAAGTTACACAAAAAGTTGCACATCATTATATTTTCACACAAAAACCCTTACAGGGATATTTGTAGCAGTTTTACATGTAATAGCCAAAAACATCCCAAATTTTCTTTCACATGTGAAGTTAAACAAATGGTGATACATCTTGTTATGGTTTAGATCTGAAATGTCCTGTAGAACTCTCATGTGTTCAGAGGTGGAGCTTTTGGAAGGTGTTTGGAAAATAGGGCATTATACTCATCAGTTGATCAATCCGTTGATGAGTACGCAACTAGTGTGCTGTTAGAAGGTGCAGCCTGGTTGGAAGTGGGTCACTAGGAGTGTGACCTGAAAGGGTATATTCTTTTTTTTTGGTACCAGGGATCGAACTCAGGACCTTGCACTTTCGAGGCAGGCACAGTGCTGCTGAGCTAAATCCCGGGCCCTGAAATGGTATATTCTTGTCCCCTGCTACCCCCTTTTTTTCCTCTCTGATTCCTGGCTGTCATTGGAATGAGCATTTGCCCTCTGCCCTGACCTTCCACCATGCTGTTTCTGCCTTGGAGCCAGCCAACCATGGACTGAACCCACTGAAACTGAGGCAAATAAACTTCTCCTTCTTTAAGATATGGGTGTAATTTTGTCCCAGTGATAGAAAAGTGACTAATACACATCAGTACTATGAAATACTCCACAAATAAAAATGAACAAACCATGGACACATGGAACAACTTGAATGAATTCTGGAGAATATCTCTGAGTGAAAAGGCTATCCCCAAAAGATTTTGTACTATATAATTCCACTTATGTAACATTCTTGAAAGACAAGATTATAGAAATGGAGAACAGATTAGTAGTAGCTATATTAAGCAGAGATGGGGATGGAGGGAATGAAGTATAGCTATAAAAAGGCAACATGAGGGAAACGTGATGATGAAAATATTCTGTATTATGACTTTTGATGTCAATATTTTGGTTATGATATGGTACTACAGTTTTAGAAGATGTTGCCATTGAAGGAAATTGTTAAGGGCATGTGTGTTCTCTATGTTTTGTTCCTTACAATTAAATGTAAATCTACAGTTATCGCAAAATAAAAAATAAAAGTGTAATTAAACATGTACTGCTATATGTGAACTGAAATTATTTGGGTCACATTATCCAAACTAATACATATCATGAGTAAAACCTTTTGTAGGCACACAGTAATCATCTTTCGTCACTGAGAAGAAAGTAATGACTTAAAGTTTCAGATACTTATCTGTGTTTTTATTGTTTGTTTAGGAAGGTGACAGTATAAATAAGTAAGTACTTAAACCAAACTTTGGAAAAGAACGATCTCTGTAAGCTTCAGAGGCACTTTAAGTGGTATGTCATGATTTAATACATCTAGGGAAATGGGATAGTCTTTTTCTTATACATACATGACATAGCAAAGATTCACAACTTTCACTTGACTAGTGTTTCCAGATGCTTTGGGGAAAGTTACTTAAAAAATAAAATTTTTAAAAAAGATGATTGGAGTCTATATATCAGTCTTGCTTAAGATCCAAGGATTGCAAAGTGCATGCCTGTAATCTCAGTTACTCAGGAGGCTGAGGCAGAAGGATTTCAAGTTCAAGGCCTGCCTGATAACTTAGTAAGACCCTGTCACAAACAAAACAAAACAAAAAAACAAGGAAATGTCTTCCAAGCACAGCTAGTCTGTTAAGAGGTAACATTCCACTGGGGATTTAGCTCAGTGGTTTTGCCACCTGCTGTGCAAGCACAAGGACCCGAGTTTGATCTCCGGTTCCAAGAGGTAACATTCCTCATTCACATTTCCACAGAATGTAAAGAAATATCATTCTTCTATTGAAGAGGGAAAGAAAATTTCCTCACTCACTCCATACCAGGAAAGGAGGAGTGACTCATATTACAGAAAATTTTCTTCCCAATGCCTTCTTCTTTTCTTCCTAATGGCTTCTGCATGTCTTTGATTTCAGCCAAAGTCTAAGATTTCTAAAGCAGGCTACATGGAAATCTGAAGCTGACCATCTCTGCATTGGACGTGAGTGGGCAAGTTCATCTAATTTAGGGTGAGTCTATTTGGTATCCCATTGTGGTCACACATCCTCCAATCCAGCTCTTGACAGTAGTAAAGCTAACAATTTTTATTTTTATCTGAAGTCTCTCATTCAGAACAATGGAACCTCAGTCCCACTGGGACTGCCCCCTACTATTCTGTGGTACTACTTCAATGTAAATTAAGTATCTGTTTTTCTGGATCTATTTGTTTTTGCTCCAATAACTTTTTTTTTTCATTGTTTTGTTCTTCAAGAATGTTTTGGCATGATTCTTTTTGTTTCCATATCAATTCCAAGGGTGGCTTGTGAAGCTCAAAAGCAACAACATACCCACTTCCTCCATATTCATTTCCTTAAAATAAGGAAAAGCTGGACATGGTGGCACATGCCTATAATCCCAGCATTCCAGGAGGCTAAAGTAGGAGGATTGTAATTTTGAACCCAGCTTGAGCAATTTAGTGACTGAGGCCCTGTCTCAAAATTTCAAAAACAAAAAACAAAAAATATTTTTTAAAGGGTAAGGGTTGTAGCTCAGTGGAAAGCCCTGGGTTTAATCCCCAGTACCATAAACATACAAACGAAAGGGGAAAAAACTGTATGAGCTAAAAAATCATAACTTTTCTTAAACTGACTTTGCATTGTAGCCAAAAAGCCTGAAATGCAAGGAAAGCCAAGATCTTCCAAGGAAAGACAAGATGCAAACACTGCCTCACCTCTGTCAGAGCAAAGAAAGAGATCCACATTCCCTATAAATGGGTATGAAAAATTCAGTGAAAATTTTAATGAATTGCTAAAAGCTAAATGTGGGATAACAAGAGAATATAGACCCCCTGAGAGCTGCTAACAAGGGAGTCTGCTCCATGCACCTCATTGGGTGCCTAAGAGGAGAATTAAGTGCAGTGCAGGAGAGGAGAACTTGGAAAGATTTCCTTGGTGGTATGGACCTGAAGAGGTGAGCATTTGCCACTGTGAGGAAATCACAAAGCTCTACCTGAACCCTTCTGCCCTGTAGACAAAGGCCATAGTTGGGGTGGGGTGGGGAGCAGCTAATGCAATAGCAAATCTAGACCTTAGAGCATAGATGAAGACTTGTTTTGACCAGAGGGAGAGAAAATAGAACAACTCTATTCCTAGAGGAGGAACAGGAAGTCATTTTGGCTCTAGGCCATTAAAGATATCCTGTCCCTAGGGGAGGAGTAGGATTTCTGAGAAAGCTCAATTGCCACGACCCAGGGACCTGGCCTTGTCTAAAGCTGAGGCTTAACCAGGACAACAGAACCTCATGCTCTACCGCAAACTAGCAGGCACTAACCTGGGGCAGCAGTCGATCTCTTGGGGAGGGGGCAAGATAGAGAAAGGGAAAAGGTTGACTGTTCAGGGCAGGGCAGGAAGATGAAGGAAAAAAAAATCAGCCTTCAATTTAAGCACAAGTAATACTCGAGATAACTAGAACAACCACAAAGCCTAAGCAAAATGAACTGACGAGACTAATGGCTCTCCACAGTAAAGTACTGTCAGAAGATGACACATGTTCATTTCTAATATTTTTATCTCTTTACTATCCTGTGCATGCATACTGCCCAGCATTTAATAATTTTTAATAATTAAGTAAAAATAATCAAGGAAAATCAACCCCTATGTCAAGAGACAAAGCAATCAACAGAGGCCAGACGCAAAGACAATCCAGATATTGGCTACTGAATAGAAAATTTTAAATGCCTGTGATTAGTATGTTAAAAGTTCTATTGGAATAAGTGGACAATACACCTGGGCAGATGAATTTCAGTAGAGAGATGGAAGCTATAAGAACAAAATCAGAAATTAAAAAAACAACACCAGAGATGAAGAATGCCTTGACACATGAATCAATGAACTTGAAGATAGGTAAACAGGAAGTACACAGATTAAGGTATAAAGAGTACAAAGTTACATAAACACAGACACTATGCAAGGGGGTGGCTGAAATGGGGTCTCATAAGGAGAACAGAGGCACATAAGGACAGATGATGTACTTTATAGAAATAACTGATGAAAATTTTCAGACATCAAACCATGAAATTCACAAAGCTCAGAAAGCCGAGAGCAAAAATTTTAAAATTTCAAATTTTAAAACATGATATGGAAACTGTTGAAAACTGAAGAAAATCTTAAGGCTGTAAAAGAAAAAAATTATTATTATATATAAACAGTTTCAGCAGACCTGCTATATATACATGGTAAGTCAATGGAGTGACACCTTTATTTTTTTTTGTTGTTTTGGGGCACTGGGGATTGAACTCAGGACCTTGCACTTGCGAGGCAGCCACGGAACCGCTGAGCTAAATCCCTGGCCCCAACACCTGTAAAGTACTGAAATTAACCAAACTCTCAATCAAGAATTCTACATCAGTTAAAACAACATTCAAAAGCTAAAAATCTTTTCCAAACAGAAGCCAAGAGAGTTCATTAACAGCAACTATATTACAATAAGTATAACAGGAAATTCTTCAAGTGGAAGGACTAGAATACCAGACAGAAACTCACCTATTCAAAGAAGTGAAGATCTCTGAAAATGGTTGAGATAAAAATAAAATAGAGGAAATACTGTTTTATTTTTAATCATTCTAAAAGACAATTGGCTAAATAATAGTGATGTATTATGGTTATATAGCAAGTGTAAAAAATATATATGGCAACAATAATTTAAAATGAGGCTATATTGAGAGTACACTTTTATAAAATTCTAAACATAGTATGAGAAATTGCATATTTAAGGGTAGGTTGAGAGTAATTAAAGCTGAGCATTGTAAATTTTAAGACAATTACTAACATTTTTAAAGTTAAATAATTTTAAAGTTAAATTATAAGCCAGTAGTGGAGATAAAATGGAATTATAAAAAGTACTTTATCCAGATGCAAGCAGAGAAAGGTACAAAAGAAACAGAACAAATAGAAAGTAGCTAGAATGATGACAGATTTTAATCCAAACAATTTTAATGAACAAAATTGCCTTAAACATACTAATTAAAAGAAGAACATGCAATTGGATGTAAAAGACCCAACCATATATTCTCTAAGAGAAAACCTGTCCTCCCCTCCCCTCCCTTCCTTTCTCCTTCCCTCTTTTTCCTTCCCCTCCCCTCCTTCTGGGCCTTCCCTGTGTTTCCCATGCTGCTCTTCAACTCCTGGACTCAAGTCTCATCTCAGCCACCCAAATACCTGGGACTGAGATATGCAAGATAATCATTAGTCAAAAGAAAGATGAAGTGACTATATTATCAGACACCATTGGCTTTGGTGTAAGGAACATTGCCAGAGATGAAGAGAGACATTATATAATAATAAATGTATTATTAGCCAAGAATAAACATTCCAAACATGTATCCACCTAACAAAACGGCCTTGAAATACAGGGAGCAAACACTGATAGAAGTAGAAGTAAATAAATTCACAATTATAGTTAGAGACTAACTCGGTGATCATGGAATAAGAACATATGCTCAGGAAGGATTGGAAGGCCTGACCAATATTTACAGGCCGCTTCACCCCCAAACAGCAAAATACACATTATTTTCTCATGCATGTGGAATGTGTACCAAGATAGACCAGGTTCCAGCCATAAAACATACTTAAATGTATTTAACATAAGCCATATAAAATGTTCTTTTATTTTAACAGATTTAAGTAGAATTCAATAACAAAAAGAAATCTAGAAGCTCCCACATGTGGAAATGAAACAATTTTAAATGATCATGCACCAATAAGTCAGAAGGGAAATTATAAAACATTTTGAAATTAACAAAAATGAGAACAAAACATCAAAATTTGTGGAATGCAGCTAAAGCAATGTTTATAGTTCAAATGACTATATTAGAAAAGGATAAAGGTCTCATATCAATGAAGTAAACTGCATTAAAAACCTAAAGGTCAAATAAGAAAGAAAAAATTAATACAATCGAGAATAAAAGCAATAGAGAAAACAATGAAATCAAAAGCTGATGTAGGCCAGGGGTTTAGCTCAGTGGTTTCACTGCCCGCCTCGCAAGTGCAAGGTCCCGAGCTCCATCCCCGGTACCAAAAAAAAAAGAAAAAACTGGTGTAAACGTAGAAATGTGGATCTATGGGACAGAGCAGAGAATTAAGAAACATACATACATAGATACGGTAACTTACTTTCAGCTAAGATGACAAGCCGTTCAATGGAGAATGGATATTCTTTTCAACATTACACTTGAAGAATTAGACATCTTTTTGCAAAAAAAGAATTACTCTTGCCCTATACCTTACAATTTTGAAAAAAAAAAAAAAAGTCTACACACCTAAATGCAGAATCGAAAGCTATGAAACTTCTAGAAAGAAAACAAGCATAGAGGTAAATCAAATCTTTATGATCTTATGTGAAAATTTCTTTAAAAGACACCTAAATCACTATAAAATTAGAACAGAAAGAATTGATAGCCTGTTTAGTTGTGCCATCCTGGCTGCCTTAATGTCCTGAATCAATTCAGAATGTTTACCTTTCATGGTCATTTTGACTTTGAGGAAGAGCCAGAAGTCACACAGTGCCAGAACTGGTGAATAAGGTGGATAAGGACACACTGTAAGGTTTTCATGAGCCTTTCTTTTGGATGGCATTCAGCAGCAGCATTCGCCATATTGTCTTTTCTTTTTTTTTTTTTAACATTTATAAGATATATTTATTATTTTTCTGACCAAAGTGCAATGATTTTTTAAGTATTTTTAAACAAATAACTATGAAGAAAGTATTCCAGAAAATAAAATACAAATGGGCACTTTAACCATTAGATTTCTTTTCTAATTTTACCCTAACCCTGTATTAGTTTAGGAAACAAAACCAAAACCTGAATCATTACTAACTTTCAGCATAAATGTAGCACATGCATTTCAAGGTTCTATTGCTACAAATTGTGTTGATCAGTTTAATCATGAATAACACCATATAACAGCATAAGGAACACAACATTAGATGTGACCCTTGTCCCACACCCTCAGATTAAGTTATAATAAAGCTGACAATTCTGTCAGGCTCTGAGTCTCTTATGTGCCCAACCCAAACCTTGGAAGCAAAGACTATGGCCTATCATATAACTTTGCACAAACTGTAGAAGTTTTATCTTTCTTTAGGAAATGGTCAGTTATTTGGTAAATATTAAAACATTGCTAGCAACCTATTTTCTGAGTTTGTTTACCAAACAACTTATGCAAGAACTGACTACATAAAAAGTTCCTCTGAAATTTGGTCCACAAATTCACTTAACAGGCTGGAAATTTGAAACCTGCAAGAAAAGAAAGTGGGAATCCCTAATTCTAACATGTTGTAATTTACATATTTGTTTTGTTTTTTGAGACAGGGTCTCACTATGCAGTTCAGGCTGGCCTTGAACTTACGTGTAGCCCAGGCTGGCCTCAAACTCACATAGATCTTCCTGCCTCAGCCTCCCAGTACTGGGATTATAGGTGTGTGGCCACCTTGCCCAGCTCTCATGTTGTAATTACTACAGTTTTTTTTGGTACCAGGGATCGAACTCGGGTCCTTGTGCTTGCGAGGCAGGCAGCAGCACCACTGAGCTAAATCCTCCGTCCCTCATGTTGTAATTACTAAAGGGATATTAACATGTGTACTAAAAATTTTTGCTCACAGAAGGCACAAACTATAAAAGGGACAGTCTTTTTAATAAAAACGAAGAACTACCTGATACCTTTGTTTTGTGAGCACCGTAATAACTAAGATGACGTTAAACCTGAATTCATTGTCTACTCCTGTGACCAAAAGAATAAAATAAAATAAAAAACTTAATGTCTGACTATGTATTTTCTAGCCATTAATTGAGATGTGATTTTGAAAGCTTAAAACTGCCTTAAAAAGGAGTTGGATAGCAGCTATCAAAGCAAAATTCAAGCATGATTTCAAGGATGCTTTCAGATTTAGAGTTAGCCTTCTTTATCAAAAATCTTCACAACTTCATCAAACACTTCATCAACAGATTTAGATGCATCTATTTTCTTGACTTTCCCCATTTCTTCATGTAAGTCAATATTGGCCTTGTTGACTGAAGATAAGTCTGAATCCTCTTTTACATGCTCTCCCTGTTGTCATCACTTCTACCACTACTTTTTCCCCTCTCAAAACATCGTTCAATACAGATCTTATTATTATAGTAAAAAAAAAAAAAAGACAAAAGATACATCTGCTTTCCCATCCATGGTCTTGTTCCAACCTTTAAGGTTGTCTTGATTTCTTGGAAACCCATCAATCAAGAATTTATTCTTCTGAGCATTGGCAGTCATTGTTTGATCCATTTCCTTCTTTAATAAACTGATAGTTATCTCAACTGGCACAATCTTTCCTTCTTTAATGTACTTTTCAATAAGTTCGCCATACTGTGACTCTGGGTTCTTCCTTTCATCACGAAGAAGTTCTCCTGCAGAAAGGTGTGTGTGGCCATATTTCTCCACGATGCGGGCACATTGGGTCCCCTTGCCAGCGAAGGGACCGCCGAGGACGAACACGACCAGCAGCTTCAGGAGGCGAGGGACGCAGAGAAGCTGGCAGGTCAGCAGCGGGGAACTTGGGCCCAAGACTTGCAGCAGCCGGCAGCGGCAGCAGCTCAGCATACACTATGTCTCTTGACAGCGCGGGGAAAGGGGCTGGCTGAGCGGGCTCCGGGCCGGCCGTGGCCGGAAGGGCTGTACTTTCTATTACACCTTGTAAAGACATGAAAGAAGATTTGCCACTTCAGAAAGTGGCAAAAATGATGGGACAGGTGTTTTTGAAATGGGAAAATATTTTGAGGGGGATTAATGACAGTGTGTCCTTTACTATATTAAATTTTTAAAATTTAAATATTCACTGTATATTTCGCTCACTCCTTGTATATCCATGTTCATAGCAGTTTTGTTTATATATACAATAGCTAGCAACAACTCAAATTGCAACAAAAGGTGAATGGCAAAACAGAGTTTTCTGTATCTAGAACACTTCTCAGCTTACTGATACAGTAACATGAATGAATCTTAAAATAATAATGCCAAATGAAAGAGGAGACCAGAAAAGATACAACTTGTATAATTGCACTTATATACAGCTCTAGAAAGTGCAAATTTAACTACATGACAAAGTAGATTGATAGTTACCCGGAGATGGGCACTGGGGAAGGAAGGTGTGGATTAAAAAGGAAATGAAGAAAGAAACATTTGGAAGTTAGAGAAATATTCACCAACTTGCTTCTAGAAATGGTTCTGCAGGTATATACCTCAGTCAAAACCAATTAAATATATGCTTTGAATATGTGCAGATTTATGCATCAGTTACATTTCAATAAAGCTGTAAAAATCATGCATTAATGACTTGCTTTTTGATATTGGCTTATACTTTTCAGAATATTTTTTGTAAGACATTAGCCCTTTGTAAGTTCCTGAGATGGCACAACTACTATATATGATTATTTTTAAATTCCTTTTTCAAAGTCTCCTTCTTGGTCTCTAAAGATATCTTTACTGAAATACTAGATGAGCAGTCTCTTCTTTTTTTGCTAATTAGTTTGCTACTGACATTTGGAGTTGAGTCTGAAACTTGAAGGATAATTTATTCAATTATTTGCTCTTTTCTTTCTTTGCCACATTCTAAATGTACTCTGTAGCAGCAAATAGTTTTAGCATTAAAAAAATTTAGATTTTGCACCAGTCTGCAGTCCCACCAACAGTGGAGAAGGGTTCCTTTTCCCCTACATCCTTGCCAGCATTTGTTGTTGTTTGATTTCTTGATATTAGCCATTCTTTTTGGAGTGAGGTGGTATCTCAACATTGTTTTAATTTGCATCTCTTGGATGGCCAGTGATGTTGAATATTTTTTCATATATTTATTTTCCATTTGTACTTCTTCATCTGAGAAGTGTCAATTCATTTCAGATGCCCACTTTTGGATTGGATTTTTTAATTGGGGGGGGGTCTGACTTTTTCAAGTCTTTGTATGTTCTAGATATTAGTCTTTTGTCTGAGGGACTACTGGCTAGAATTTTTTCCCACTCTGTGTGTTGTTTCTTCACTCTGTTGGTGATCTCTTTTGTAGTACAAAAGCTTTTTAATAGGGTAAGATCCCAGTTGTTGATTCTGTCATTTCCCCTGCAACCTGGGTTTTGTTCATGAAGTCTTTGCCTACCTCTATGTCCTCAAGAGTTCTCCCTATTCTCTCTTCTAGCAGATTTAGTGTTTATGTTTTAATATTTAGGTCTTTGATCCATTTTGATTTTAGTTTAGTGCATGGTGAAAGACATGGGTCTAGTTTTAGTCTGAGGCATATAGAAAGCCAGTTTTTCCAGCATCACTTATTAAAGAAGCTATCCTTCTTGTGGATGTGTTTGGCCCCTTTGTCAAATATAAGGTGGCTGAATGTGTTTGCAGTTGTTTCTGTATCTTCTAGTCTGTTCAGTTGATCTTTGGCTCTGTTTTTTTTGCCAGTATCATACTGTTTTTATTACAATAGCTCTGTAGTATAATTTTGGGTCAGGGATTGTGATGCCAACTTCCTTGCTTTTGTTGCCCAGAATTGCCTTTGCTATTCGTTTTTTGTTTTGTTTTTTTTTTTGGTACAGGGGATTGAATTCGGGTCCTTGCGCTTGCAAGGCAGACAGCGAAACCACTGGGCTAAATCCCCAGCCCTTGCCTTTGCTATTCTAGTATTCTAGGTCTCTTCTGGTTCCAAATGAATTTTAGAATTGTTTCTCTAATTCTGTGAGATATGCTGCTGGGATTTTGATCAAGATTGCATTAAATCTGTATAATAATTTTCGAAGTATGGCCATTTTTACTATATTGGTTCTTTCTACCCAAGAACAAAGGCTATCTTTCCATTTTCTAATATCCTCTTTGATCACCTTTTTTTCAGGGTACTGTAGTTTTCAATGTAGAGATCATTTACTTCCTTTGTTAGTGATTCCTAGGTATTTCATTTCTTTTGATGTTATTGTGAAAGATGTTGTTTCCCTAATTTCTCTCAGTGAGTTCATTGTTCATGTAGAGGGTAGCTATTGATTTTTGAGTGTTGATTTTATATCCAGCTACTTTACTGAATTTGGTTATTAAATATAGAAGTCTTTTGGTGGAGTTTTTGAGGTCTTCTATGTAGAGTATCATGTCATCTGAAAAGAATGATAGTTTAGCTTTTTCCAGGCCGGGGATTTAGCTCAGTGGTTTCGCCGCCTGCTGCGCAAGCTCAAGGACCCGAATTCGATCCCCGGTACCAAAAAAAAAAAAAAGTTTAGCTTCTTCCCTTCTTATCCTTATTCCTTTTATTTCTTTCTCTTGTCTAATTGTTCTG